TATTAGGTTGGAGGCCATCGCTAGTAGGTTGGAGGCCATTGCTATTATTAGGTTGGAGGCCATCGCTAGTAGGTTGGAGACCATCGCTAGTAGGTTGGAGGCCATCGCTGTTTTTAGGTTGGAGGCCATCGCTATTAGGTTGGAGGCCATCGCTAGTAGGTCTAGCATCGCATTAGGTTGGAGGCCATCGCTAGTAGGTCGGAGGCCATCGCTATTTGGTTGGAGGCCTTGCTATTAGGTTGGAGCCCACCGCTAGTAGGTTGGAGGCCATCGCTATTAGGTTGGAGGCCATCGCTAGTAGGGTGGAGGCCATCGCTGGTCGGTTGGAGGCCATCGAAAGTAGGGTGGAGGCCATTGCTAGCAGGTTGGAAGCCATTGCTGATGGAGGCCATCGCTAGTAGGTACACAGATTTAGTGTTGATCCTTCTCGAACACGCTTTCGCAGCCTTCCAAGAGCGGACATGCGAGCAAGATGGTTTGTTTTTTTTAAGGCTGGATGACGTTGCGGAGCTCTTGCGCTCTGAGGCTTCGGGCGGATAGAAATAGAGAGAGTATTTTTCAGATAAGTTGTTCTAGGCTTTTGGTCGGTTAAAACATAGTAGATATGAATAGGAAAATAAGGAAGGAAGGCAGGGAGGGAAGGGAGGAAGGGAGGAAGGAAAGAAGGAAAGAAGGAAAAAAAAAGGACGGGAGGGAGGGAGGGAGGGAAGAAGGGAAGAAGGGAACAACGGTCCAAAGAAAAGGGAAAAAAGATAACGTGTTCTGACAAGTTTGCCAAGAGGGTTAGTAGAGGGCCAGAGATGACTAGCGCCTTTGAAAGCACGTTTCCCAAGTAGGGTTTGTTGACACTAGATATTTAAGCGCTTGACATTTTGCAGCTGCAAAAGCAGCCCCCTAGGCTTGCACACCGTATGAGCTTGCTCTTCATGCGTTTCCATCCCGTTTGCTGCCTTTGTCGCGACCTCAAAACATTTTGTTGGAGGCCATCGTTAGTAGGTTGGAGACCAGAAAAATGAAGCTGAAATCCGTTTGCTTCGTTTGTGCCGTGATGTGAGCGCTGTAGCTCTTCGAGGTTATCTTCCAGTTCCGAATGGCCGTGGCCACCATTGTCAAGCTTCTCAGGAGAAACCTTGGAGGTACGAGATATTGGAAGGGTCAACTGTTTGGAGCATTGACTGCCAACGGTGGCAGAAAAGGAAAGAAGTTCTAGGACAGCATTCTATATCATTCGACATGTATGTCTCAAATGACATTTGTTTTGCTTCCTATGTACATGTTTCATTCTCCATCGTTCTTGATCTCTCCCTTTGTGTTCGCAGCAGATTCATTGGGACCAAAAGAAATCGACTAGCTTCAAACAGTCATGAGGCACGTAAGTTATGTAAACATGATTTTCTTCACCTGTTTTGTAAAGTAGATTGGAGGCTATCGCTATTAGGTTGGAGGGCATCGCTCCTATGTTGGAGGCCATCGCTAGTAGGTTGAAGTTGGAGGCCATCGCTAGTAGGTTGAAGGCCATCGCTATTAGGTTCGAGGGCATTGCTAACACCCTGGAGACGCTTCAGAGATTTGCAGGCTTTGGTGCCAGCTTTGCAATGGCTACTGGGTCTTTGCGAAACCTTCCCTGCCGTGCACTTGAATAGTCCAACGCTTGACTTGTCAGAAGCTGTCACGGCCTGTCAGGTGGCAGCTGCGGAGGGTCCAGTTTCCGGTGTTGACTGTTTGGCCATGGCCTCAAAGGATACGCAGTCGTGCGGCTGGCAGGGCCATGTTGACGGCTTGGACCGTGAAGCGTTTGTGGCGGTTCATGACATTGTTTTCTTTTCTATCAAGCATGTGTTTTTTTTTCCAGTAGACATCAGGGCAGCTATAGAAGCTAAAGCCTCAGCATCGGCTCGCTACCAGCCTTTGACATCTCTTGGCCTTGGCTCAAGCCTTTGGGCACTTGGGCCGTTGCCAGATTGTCTGGGTTTCGGTGAAGAGGCACAAAAAGCGAGATCTCCTCGTTGTTCTCCGAAATATAGCGAGAAACTTGGGTGAACTGCACGCCGTTGGCAGGTGATGAACGGTTGGAAGATTTGCGTGAAAGCAACCTTCATTGACATTGAGGAGAATCACCACTCACCAGCCAGCCTTGTAGGCATTGACGGCACTCCGCAGCCAATTCCATTTGCACCCCCAAAGCAGTGCTTTTTAGGGCAAACACACATTTTACAAGTCATAACCCAGGACCGAACACTATTTCATTCTGACATCATGTAAGTTGGAGGCCATCGCTCTTAGGTTGGAGGCCATCGCTCTTAGGTTGGAGGCATAGCTAGTAGGTTGGAGGCCATCGCTCTTGGGTTGGAGGCCGGAGTCCATCGCTGATAGGTTGGAGACCATCGCTAGTAGGTTGGATGTCTAGCCATTTCTAGCCATGTTCAGACTGACCTCGTATGTTTTTGCTCAGTGAGGGCTCTGTAGCGCATAGCGGCTTTGCAGGAGCCTCATCCGAAGCTGTTTCGTGCCCAAAGTGAGCCACCACATCGGACTTTCGATGAGGACACCCACTGCTTCACCATGGTGTTGGGAACATGTCTCTTTAGCCCGCTCCTACTTTTTAAGTAGTAACAAGAAGCTACTAGGAGCTCCTGGCATCGCTACTAGGAGCAAGGACGCTACTAGGGGCTCCTGGCCTTACTACTAGGAACAAGAAGCTACTAGGTGGAGGCCATCGCTACTAGGGTGGAGACCAATACTACTAACGCAGGATAGCTTGTGCTTCTTCACGGAAGCTCTCCCCGCCCAATGATTTGAAGAAGCGCTTGCACTGATGATATAGTTCCTAGATTTTTGGGAAACTTTAAGGCGGGCCGCCACGTGACGCTTGAACTGAAGACCTGCAGGATTGGGAATCCAATGAGATCTCAACAGCTTCTCCAGTGAAGCAAGAACATTTGTATGAAGAGGTTTGCTGCTTCTTTGAGCTCTTCTCATTCTTTGTTTTTTCCTTCTAGAACAAGCCCCCCGTGATATGTTGAGCCAGGTGAATGCAATTTGGACAGTGTGCTACGAGCCAAACTTTGCAGGCACGAATTATCATTTTCCTTCTTGGGTGAAGTGAGAAATGAGAACAAGAAGCTACTAGTAGCAACGGGCATCGCTACTAGGAGCAAGGACGCTACTAGTAACTCCTGGCCTTACTACTAGGAACAAGAAGCTACTAGGGGCTCCTGGCATCGCTACTAGGAGCAAGAGGCTACTAGTAGCTACTCTACGACAGAACGAGTGACGCAATTCTTCGAGGCCCAATGAGCAACAATGACCTGAAGACGACCACCGAGACGACCGAGACTGCTTCGGCTGAGACTCAGACAGCTGGTTTGTGCCTCAGATCTTTCCATCTTGTGTTAGTCGCTCTTAGGTTGGAGGCCATTGCTAGTAGGTTCTATCGTCTCACTAACGTTAGTTCGCTTGGTCCACATTGGGTCTCAAGTCTTGGACTTTTACCTTCTCTTTTGTTTCCCGTTAGACCTTGAAACTTGACATGTTTTCGATTTTTCATGTTCCTTCAAGTTCCTTCTTTTCTTCCTTTCTATCTTTTTCTTATTCCTTACCACCATCTTACTGTAGTCCACTTTTAGGTCTCTAGTCTTGGAATTGTGCCTTATTGACTTGAGCAAGAGGAGTGTTTGATGTTCCTTTTCTTTGTGAAAAGGATATCGTTGTTCTTTTGAGTGATTCTACGTCAATGGTGTGAGGTGAATTCAGCCAGGGCTCTCGAGGTCATCCTGAATTCTGCAAGCGGCCGTGTGTGCTTTGGATTCGAGGGAGTGACAAAGCAAAAGCGCAAAAGCCTAGACTACTAGTAACAAGAAGCTACTAGGTCCTGGCATCGCTACTAGGCAAGGACGCTACTAGTAGCTCCTGGCCTTACTACTAGGAACAAGAAGCTATTAGTAACAAGGACACTATTAGGTGGGAGGTCATCGCTAGTAGGATGGAGGCATAGCTAGTCGAGGTGCATTTCTTCACCCGTGGCTGTGCAGCCGGTGCTGGATGCAACTACTGCCATGCAGAGCACCCGAAGAGGCCAACGAGCCTGGACAAGTCGCAGAGGACGTCACCAAATCGTGAGCCAATGGGAACCTTCACAGCAGCGATTTCGATTGCGGACAGGAGATTGTTGGTGAAAGTGGAAGAGCAGCACCTGCTTGAAATTGCCTCCTGGCCAATCCGAAGTTGTTTTGGCACTCAAATATGCTTGGCACACCGTTGAGGTGATGGGTCATTTGCGTGCTCGGGCTGAACACTTTGGATTCGGCTCTCCATGCGAAGAGCTTTTCCAGATTTTGGAGACTCGTTGGAAAGGCCTGGACCCAGCGCCTTGGCCGACGGCATTGGGGAAATGAAAGGTCCGTCTTGACGGGCACCGCACAAAAAACAAGAACAAAGTTATTAATATAGTATTGATTTACATATTTGCATATTTACTGTACCTTTTTAAGGGCTTAGTAGGCGAGGGAGGTAGTACCTCGCTAGTAGAAGCTGGGCAGCTAGTAGCTACTAGTGAGCTACTACCTAGGACGCAGGATAGCTCACGTTTCTTCAAGGAAGCTTGCACTATTCATTTGGTTCCTGGATTTAAATGGAAACTTGAGTCTTAGGTCTCTGGGTCTTGGAAAGAATTCGCTTGTGGAGCATCACGTGTGCGTAAGGATGTCCCAGCTTCGTGGTCTCCTAGCGAGCAGCAGAATATGAGCGACTTAGAAGCAAACACACACAAAACAAAACAAACGAAGAAAATGAGGACTCTGATGATTCCAACCAGGCATTTTGTTTGGTAATGAAAGTAAATCATGCCTAAGATAAAGATTCTTGGAACGGTAAGTAGGGGGTTGGTGGGTAGTGATGTGCTTCTTCGACAAAGCCTAGCAGCAAAAAGCACAACAACAGAAACGGTCCGAACCAACCAAGGACGCGTGTTGGGAAAGATGACCTTTGCAGGATTATTGGGCTTGGTTCTCTCCAGGTCTTCAACAGCCTCGAACTCAGTCTGCAAAGGGTCTCAGGCCTGCACAATGTCTCAACTCAGACAAGCGTGTTGAAATATCAAGCTTTTGGCGAAAAAAAGTGAAGTGATTGTCACGTTGGCACATTCTTTCTCCATCTTGCAACGTGAGAGAAACACTGTTTGCTCGAGGAGGATGGTGGCACACTGTTTGCTCAAGACGTCAATCATGCTCTTGAACGTCTACGAGAGGCGCGGAACCGAACCCGGCTCGGCCGAAACATTTTCTGGGAGAGGTAGCTAGCAGAAGAGGTAGATACTACAGATGGACGCAGGATTGCTCGCGGTATTGATTGGGTTCCTAGATGTTTTGGGAAACTTAACTAGGTTGGAGGCCATCGCTAGTCGGTTGGAGGCCATTGCTCTTAGATTCCTTATTGCTCTTAGATTTCCACGGAGGTTTGTTGTGCGACTATGCCGGCATCATGCATCGCAGGTCATGCCGACGATCAATCAGCACTGAACCAAAAAATGGTGGTCCATGAAGCACAGAGGTGCATTTTCAGCATGATTGGACCATGATTTCACGCAACAGGAAGATCTGAGACACCATGGGACACAGATTCTCCCACGTTGGTGGCGTTAGGCTTTGACGGAAATTCGCCGATCAAAGCAAGCTTAATGCTGAACCCATTGAGGCTTGTTTCGGGATGATGTTTCCATTTTCAACGCTTAGGCCAAACCAGACAAGCCTCTTTTGGAAGACATTAGACACTGGTTTGCTTGAACCAGTGGATTGATTAGAGAAGGTGGGCCGGAGGCAAACTTGGCAGGGACTGTTCTGCTGAGAAGTCAGATGTGTTTGATTGGACATAAACAAAAATTAAACTAGTAACAAGGACATCGCTACTAGTAACAAGGACATTACTACTAGTAGCAAGAAGCTACTAGTAACAATTGATGGGACTTGCTTTTGTTGACCTTTTTATGTTGACAATACCTTCCTTCTAACGAGTCTAAGACGGCCTGCACCGCTTGGAGCTTTTAGAGAAGCCATCCTTTACTGTAGGTCTTTTAGGGTGCTTTAGCCTTCACGACCTCTATGTTCCTACCACCTTGGGAAGGCTGAATACAAAGCTCAGTACTGAGTAACTTAGTACCACCTTAATACCTTGAAACTCTAAACATATCTTGCCAGCATGCTTTGACTCTGATTAGTTGAGCTGACAGACCCGGAGAGTTTGCTCGGATGCACCTCCTTCACACGAGGGGGTGCGCGCGCCTCCACTTTCGGCTATCGTGCGGGTGGCAGTGCCGTTTCGACTTGGTCTGGAGGAAGTGACAACGACTCAGTGATGGCGCTAGTAGTAACAAGTGCCTTACTAGTAGTAACAAGAAGCGAACGTAGAAACAAGTGCATCGCTACTAGTAACAAGTGCCTAGTAGGTTGGAGACCATCGCTAGGTTGGAGCACGCGATTCCATGCTCTCAGTTGGAGACCGCCAAGGATTGGACACTGCTGGCATGTGGCCCTTCGATCAGTTTTTTGCGTGTCTGCAGACGTGTTCCTTTCTGAGCAGATGGTGAAACTGTTGTTCAGCCCAGAATGAAGCTCGCAGATTCCGCTGTAATAACAACCTATTTCCAAATGTACAACATGTTTTCCCGGAATTGGGTGTTCAGGAGAGGAATAGACATCAGACTGAAGCAGGCCAGTCAGAGTTGGAGCCACAACTAGGATCTCCAACTCAGCATCGATTAGTTTTTTGAAGCCGTGAGGATAGCATCGATACAAACCAGGTTTCAAGCCATATGGAACAGGATAGCATTGATCGCATCCTTGAGAACCAGCTTGAGAAGAAAGCTCTCAAGCTGGGTCTTCAGTTTTTTCGTAGGAAATGAGCCCGCCAGTCAATGAGGTTTGTAATCAATCTATCAATCCTCAAGCTGGTCTTCAGTTTTGTCTCCTCATTGAACTGTTCCCGCGCTCATAGCTTAGCTGACTTAGCTTCCCTTGTAAGGCGCACTCTGGGATTGTGTGCAGATGGCTGTTACAAAAAAGGACTCACGCAACTTGTGCTGTGCCTTCGATTGCCGGAGCACAGAAAGCTGCAAAGCCAAAAGCGTTTTGTCTGCAAAGCCAAAGAAGCCAAAAGCAACAACGAAGCGGTTTTCGAACTGGGGCAGACAAATCGCCGTCCGATGAGGTCCGGCCACTAGAGCTGACGCTTGAGAGGTGCGAAGTTAGATGTTTGGGTTCAACAAATCAAAAGATGTATGGTAACAAGGTTCGCTACTAGGAACAATTGCATCGCTTCTAGTAACAAGTGCCTTACTAGTAGTAACAAGAAGCTATTAGAAAAGCAAAGAACACGGAAAAGACAGTAAAACGTCTAAAGATCTGAAGAAGGAAGAGTTCCAATGAAAGGCACGGAACGACAAAGGTAAACAATGCAACATACCTTTTTGCAATGTCACAGAGTGTTGCCTGAGTTTCTCGGCGGAGACCTCCAAGACGCTTTTTGTAGAGTACCTCGGCCAGCATTTGCCGTCATCTTTTGTTCAGACCAAATCATTAGTTTCCCGGAGGCCATCGCTCCTAGGGTGGAGGCCATCGCTATTAGGAACCAAATCATCATTGCGAGCGCTTCTTCGAGGAAGTTCCCCTCGCCCTCAGGCGGGAGGAGCTTCCTTGAAGAAGCGTGAGCTATGCTGCGTCCAGCTACTAGAAACGTAAGTAGCTAGGAGCGGACTTAGCCCTTACTTAATTAAGCAGGCGCCTATGAACTTTGTTTTTGCATTTTGGTCTCCAGCCCCAGACGGCTAAGCCGTCATGTTTCGGCTCAGCAGCTGTTCAACATGTCGGTTCCAAAAACCGGCAGCTTGGTGCGCTTGGAAGACGGAACCTTAGGAGTCCAGAGCCATGGGCAACGCGTCTTGCTCTTGGGCGCCACCGAAAGTGCATCGACGTCAGTAACTGTCGCATCGGACCTTCGAAAACCATTACAAGGAGGTGGATCCGACAGTTTCGACTTGGTCTTAGGACCCCAAACTTCCGATGCCATCTTAGGAGAAGAAATGTCTCAATGTCTCTTTGAGAAAGGCTTCTGCGTCCTTCGAATGCCTTCGCCTTCCTCACCTGACCTCCTCCCCGTGATGCGGGATCTCGCAGAAGACGGACAGCTGGGCCGGCTACCCGAAGAAGTTGAAGAGGGCTATTTGGGTCTCGGTGGTAAAGGCCGAATCCTTTGGCTAGATCCGGAGTCAAAGAACCTCCATCAAGCCTTGGTGGCAGCAGATCAGACCCTCAGACAGATCTTGATTTTATTTAGCGATGGCCTCCAACCTAATAGCGATGGCCTCCAACCTACCGATTTATTTTGTTGATACCCGTTGAACCCTTTAATTCTTTTTGTTGATATTTTTGGACAGACCTTGCTGTCAACATGCTAGCAACGCTTAGCAATGCTTAGCATGGTTTTATTCCGATCGAAGGAGCCTTTCCTACTTGGCATCTGTTTTGCAGCCCTTCAGTGGCGACGTATTTGAGAAGCCCATCAAGGAACGGACTCCAGCCTTGTTCAGTTTGTCCTTAGACGAGGAAGAAGAAGAGGACCAGAGCAGGGAGTGGAGCTTTGACTTGGTTTTTTAACCAAGCTTGTGCACTTGAGAAATCTGACAGTAGATGTGTAGTATTGAGCTTTCATCCTTTTGTTCATTTAAAAATCATTTTTCTGGCAGGACTATCCCATTCCCCCAGCAGATGACAAGATTCTAGGTGACTTTTTAAGCACCTGGCGCCGTGGCCTTGTTCGAGTGATCCACTTTGTCGGTCCCAACTCCACCTTGCTGGAGCTGGAGACGAAGGAAGGTCCGGATGCCGCGGCCTTGCCTTTGCAAGAAGAAGTGATTCGAATCACTGCATCACCGGGGACCTTGTTGCTCTTCCGACCAGATTGCTTTACGCATTCAACCACTTTCAATGGTGAGGTCTTGACCATCTCAACGGCATTCCTCTCGGAACAGCCCAGATGGTTCCTCAATCCTGCCAAGGACTTTGATCCTTCAACGTGGTTATGTCTGGGAGGAAGCATAGCGCCAAATGGCCCTCCCCCACCCGAAGGACAGGGTATCAATGTCTTGCACATTGCGACCCGTATGCCAGCACAATGGGATGAGCCAGAGATGTACAATACTGGCCTCAATGCTGGTACAGATGCAGTGATTGAGATTCCGGTGACTAGATTTGATGTTGATGCGTACTTCACAGCGGATCCCGATTCCATTACAGTGATGAATCCCAGGATGAACCAAAAACACACCAGTTTCGTCGATGGCATTGAGCTCTTCGACAACAAATATTTCGAGATTTCCAGCAATGAAGCGAACAATATGGATCCATTGCAACGACAAGTCTTGGAGGTTGGTGGTGCCTTGATGTATCAGATGGGCGTCAGCAAGAAGGTCTCCAACAAGAAATCTCACCATGTGGGCTTTTCGGTGGGTGTGGACAAAGCGGACTTTCCTACTTTGGGACTTGGATGCGGTGGCACCAATGCTTTGGCGATCATTGCCAATCGCTTTAGTTTCGTCTTCAACTTGAAGGGTCCCAACTACATTTGTGACACCGCTTGTTCAGCATCTCTGACAGCAACACATTTGGCCAAGCCTTTGTTGTTGGATCGCACTTGGGATGTCTTGGATTTCCATGTAGCCACTGGAACACATCTCTGCTTGTCGCCAGGGCCATGGGTTGGATGTGCCTTGGGCCATATGACTTCACCTCAAGGCCGCTGCTTCACCTTCGATTCAACCGCCAATGGTTACCTGCGAGGTGAAGGGACCTCGGGTATGGTCTTGAAGTATGGCGAATATGATGCGAAAGGTTTGCTGGCGAAGATGATGGCATGTTTGCTTCCATTTTTTTTCGCGTGCAGTGCATGGCAGTTTGTAAGATTTGTAAGTCATTAAGGGGTGATAGAGCTAGGAACAATGTTCGCTACTAGGGGCTGCTGGCATCGCTAGGAGGAAGGACGCTACTAGGAGCTTTTACGCGCCAAGACCAGCTAAGGTTGCATCTATCGAGCCTCCTGTGTCGGCCAAGATGGCCGCAGTGCATCATTGACAGCACCCAACGGACCTGCACAAGAAGAGATCATTAACAAGGCCATTCGAGAGGCGCGAATGACGCCGCCAGAGTCCACTTGTTGGGAATGCCATGGCACCGGTACATCTTTGGGGGATCCCATTGAGGTGGGCGCGGTGCGCAAGGTCCAACGGAAAATGCCCCGGTCGGAGCCTTTGATGATGTCTTCCAACAAGAGCAACATCGGACACTTGGAGGGTGGCGCTGCCATGGCGGCGATGGTCAAGTGTGTCTTAGGAGTGAAGATGAATCAATGTGTTGCAACTTTGCATGCCAGACAGTTGAATCCTCACTTGGAGCACACCGTGTTCGATGCCTTCTTCGAAACAGAGCGGACTTGCTTCGCATATGACCGAGCTCATAGCCAGATCTCCTCCTTTGGCTTTGGCGGCACGAATGGCCATTGTATCTTTTGGGGTAGGTCGGGTGTGGGAAAAGAGGATGTGGAGACCTTGTTGTTGCGACGGATTGCCAAGATGTCCCCTGCAGAAATCCGTCCTGTGGGGAACAATCCAGATGATTGGGAAGCAGATCTTCCGGAAGCGAATCCCCAAGCTGGCGATATTTATTCCATCATATTGAGACCAGAAGATCCCATGGATGAACCCATCAAATGGGTCAAGGTCCGAGATGAGGAGGAACGAGAACGACGAGAGATGGAGGACGTCTATACTATCACTGGGACTTTCAACCATTGGCAGCAAGACAGCATGTCCCCTGGGGTGTCAGGTCAGTACACCATGATCGTGCTTGTTCCAAATGATGGCATTCTGGAGTTCCGATTCCTGAAGAATGGATCACTGGTCATTGCGCCTGAGAAGGACAAGTGTACTGAGAAGTTGGCCAAAATCAGTGCACCCCAGGAGGGCCTAACAACCTGCTGGTCAGTGAAAGCCGCAGCAAACTCATGCGTGCGCATTGAGCTGCTGTGCTTAAAGCACATTTATACCGTACTTTGGATGCCAGCATAGTTCGCTTCCGTTCGAGAAAGCCTCACGCGCAGTGCATTCATTCGGATGAAGGCTTTGTGTGCCTAGGCTTTGTGTCCTTGTGCAGTTTCTCAGATCAGGTCTTGGACGTCTACTGTTCGGTCTTGCGTGAAAGGTCTCAAGGAACCCTCTCTCTACTGCATCCTTGCATGTAGCATGTAGCTTGCATGTAGCTTCCAAGCTTACTAGCTACTTCAGCTGTTGGCACCAGGGTTTGAACGAGGCCACTTCTGCCATTGCGCGACTTGGAGCGGTTCTTGTTGCAGACCAGCACTCCAGAGGACAAAAGCGAAGTCTCAGACGAATAGACAAACGAATGGAAGGACGATGTCATTTATTCTAATAGCGGCTAATAGCTTCTTGTTTGAAATAGCTTCTTTGTTCCTAGTAGCGATGCACTTGTTCCTAGTAGCGTCCACACGAATAGATAGAATAAAGCACGGAATGGAAGGAAGAGCACTTCCACACTTCGAGAGACTTGAATGCTTTAATGCACCAACACGAGGAGGACTATCTCACTTGGTGCTTGGGGCTTGGAACGAGTACTGGAACTACTGAAACTTTTACTCGTCAATGTTGTCGCTGCTGCTGCTGTTGTGGTGTTGCTGTTGCTGTTGTCAAGTTTTCCCTAGACAGACATCGCATAGAATAGTGCTCATTCGGGGGCGCGACACTTCCATGTTAGCCTGTTCAGTGGCGCTGACGCTGTGTGCTGCTGTTGCTGCCCTGTGGAGATGTGGAACATCACGAATGCGCCAGAGGATGCACCTAGCAGCATTTCATCTCTTGCTGCTAGGTTGGAGGCCATTAGGATTGAGGGAGGCCATCGCTATTAGGTTGGAGGCCATCGCTATTTGGTTGGAGGCCATCGCTAGTCGGTCGGAGGCCATCGCTAGTAGGTTTGAGGCCTGCGCTATTAGAACAGGAAGAAAGAAGAAAGGTTTAATATAGTTTGCTCTTAGGCTTGTAGTCTGTTCGCACACACACACACATCCTCATGCATCACGCCATTGAATCCGCCTCTCCTCATCTGCTATCACTCCGGTTTGTTCCGCCTTTTGATCCGGTTCTTGAATTGTAGCAATACTGGTTCACAATTTGCCTCACAACTGAAACTGCTAGCTCTTCCCAATGCGGCTCCTGCTGGCGCAGCAGCTGAGGCCGGAGCCTGGTAGGACAGAGGCTTGCAGAGCGCGAGGCAGTTGGGAGCCTATGGAGCCTCGTGGCCAACAGGTGTAAGTAAAAACACCATCATCATTACCGTGGGCAATGGCCTCCAACCTAGTAGCTTCTAGCTACTAGTAGCGATGCCAGGAGCCCCCCTAGTAGCCTCTTGCTCCTAGTAGCGATGGCAGGAGCCTCTAGTAGCCTCTTGTTCCTAGTAGTAAGGCCAGGAGCTACTAGTTACTAGTATCATCTTGCTCCTAGTAGCGATGCCAGGAGCCCCTAGTAGCCTCTTGCTCCTTGTAGCGATGGCAGGAGCCCCTAGTAGCCTCTTGTTCCTAGTAGTAAGGCGGCCAGGAGCTGCTGGTATCTTCTTGCTCCTAGTAGTGATGCCAGGAGGCGCTAGTAGCCTTTTGTTCCTAGTGTAAGGCCAGGAGCTACTAGTAGCGTCCTTGCTCCTAGTAGCGATGGGCCTGTGGAACCTGTTGCATTTACAGTGACCCAGTCGGAGTCATCGCTCTGCAGCATTTCCCATTGGATTCGTTGTTTGGTGTCTTTTTTTTGCACATCATTTTTTTCTCCGACCTTTGACACTGTGTAAGTAGTTATTCTTCTGATGGTATGACGCAATCGTGGGTTCTGACATGATTTGCTCAGTGCCTCATCACAAAGATTGGACACATGTTTTAAGTTCCTAGGTCAGCTCCAGTCGAGGTCACTGGGAGGGTTTGGTGTGGGCGTGGACTGTCGAACGAGGAACACCAAAATGAAACATTCCCAACTGGGCACCAAATGGGTTTCCCAAAGGTTTTGAATAGCAATGACCTCCAACCTAGTAGCAATGGCCTCCAACCTAGTAGCAATGGCCTCCAACCTAGCCCCCTTTCATACTGTATCATACCTCCTTTGTGTTTGTTTTCTTAATTATGTTCTTCGGACCTTTAGAACTTTTTCTGCAAACTTTTCTTGATCGGATTTCCTCAGATTTCAATGAAGCTTTACAACTTAGGGCCATGTAGGGCCATCAATTTCGGTCGGGTTGTTGCGGCAGCATTGACAGGCTCAAAGGAAGCTTGGCGAACAGTTGCTTGGCAAACCGACCCCCCTTAGCCTTACACCGGACTGCTGCTGCTCTGCTTCTACCTGAAATGGTAGCAAACACAATATGAACCGGACCACACGAATAGCATGCAGCATACTCATCTATTCTTCAAAAAGCCTTGCTTGTCCAAGTCACTTGGAGCGACGGATTGTGTCTTGGCCTTCACGGGCCGAGGCTGAAGCGAAAAGCTTTGATGTGGTGGCGGGATTGCCGGAGAGCCCAACAGAGCCGATGACGCTACTAGGGGCTCCTGGCTATAGTTACTAGGAGCAAGGGCCTTGCTACTAGGAGCAAGAAGCTAGTAGAAACAATGTTAGAAGCGAATTAGAGTTTAATTAGAGTAGTAAGGCCAGGAGCCCTTAGTAGCGTCCTTGCTGCTAGAACTATAAACGTACGGTACAAACATGCAAGGAACATGACATCATGGCATCATGGCATCCAACATGGCTGGCCTTCCTTGAATCTGCTTGAAGGCCTGTACATACACTTGTCTATGAAGACGGAGAAGAAGCAAAGCTCTTGCAAGGGTCTCAGCACTTTTCCAAGGAATGCTTCAGCTCAAATGATGTGGACTTGAGCAGAACACCCTTTGTGTTTACGATATTTTTGCACTTTCATGAAAGATTGAATACAGACTTTTTCTCACCTTGGTTCCCGTCTTCTCCGGTCTTCTCCGTCTTCCTGGTCGGATCAATCTCCACAGGCTGCATCTCCGAGAAGTGCTTGTCCTGGGTGACAAAGAGACTACTCAGGAGACCCGGCGGTGAAAGGGCCTCGGCCTCAAGGCTCCTTCGAAGAGAGCCTTGAATTCTGCGGATGGGATGGCGCTGAAGTTTTTGTTCAAAGGGATTAAGAATCGAATCAATCATGCTAAATGGTTGAATCCCTGTGGCTTCCTTGAAGCACCAGATTTGTGCGTCCCAAGCCTGGTAGCTTCTGGTCGACTTGTTGGCTATGTCTTCGCTACTTGTTTTCGACAGCTTACCTGACCTCCTTCCCCCCCGCCCAGCGGCCTACCGGCCTACCCCCAAAAAGACGCATAAAGAAAACACCTCAACTTGATACCTCTTCTTTGTTTGCGGCATCCCTGTGCCCTGCTGGAACAATTTCTTGTTTGATATTAGCCCCCACATGGTTCCAGGTCCTGAAGATCCATTTGGTTCCACTCTTTTGGGGTTCTTTGGTTGGTTGCGGTGAGGAGGCAGATTGTGAGGGTTGGATGCTCAGCGAAAAGCTTTTGGCGCCGATCTGGTACATTTCTTGTTTAGCAGCTCAGGCGATGCAGAGGCCGGCTGGCACATAAAGCAATAACAAGAATCATAATCACAGATGTTATTTTTGAAACTAAAACCGGTGCAGGCCCTCCACAGCAGAGAACAGGAATCTGAGGCAAGGCCAGCCGCCTGATACTCCCCACGCATAACTTGTTACATGATTTGCGCAAAGAACGTGCCGCACGTGTCTTCAGGACGTCCTGCAAGAGTCAGCGGCCCTGAGCGGTGCTTCCAATTCGGAACTCAAGTTTTGAATGCATGAGGTCGGATGGCCACGAGGCCGAACTAGACTGGAAAGAGTTTCCAGTGTTTTGTGCACGTTGCTCCATGTGGAGGGTCTTGTTTTTCGTTATTGTTTTCCTTCAACCAGTTGTTCTGGGCTTCCGCAGTGATGGCGTTGCATTGCAATTTCTGCCCAGTGCAGAGAGGCAAACGGAGCAGGACGAGAAGGCATGGGCTCGATTGTTTCGCACTCCTCTTTTCGTTTTCGTTTGACAACACTTATCTTAGTAAGACTTAGTGACACTCATCTCACTGGAAGAGTGAAGAAACACAATGACCTCTGAGTTTTTTTGGCTTTGAGACACAGCTCCCGGATGCTTTGAGGAGCTGAGGAAGGCCAAGAAACAGAAGCTGCGGAGGCGACGAGAAACCAATCCGCTTGCCCAACAGAATTCTTGCAAAGATGTCCCATAGCCTATCACAGCCTATCAATTCGCAGTGTCGAAGGGAATGCTTCCAAAGGCCAGGAATCCCAATTGTCCAACGATGATAGCCCGATTGTTGTTTGCATTCTAAAGCACACGCGGTCTTGCATTTCAAGATCACGTGACCCCCCCTACCAAGACGACTCCTTTCTTAACCAAGGATGAAAAGATCTACAAGTTGCTGACAGCTAAGTTACTTTGTTCTTTTTTTCACAGTCACATTCTTGTCATTATTTTTCACCTGCTAATTGAATCTTAAGGTCTCTTCCATTCATTAGCTTTGTTTACTTGCACCTTGTTGTACCTCTTGCTTTTCTTAGGCTTTGCTTTGCACGTCTTGCCCTAAGGGTGGTGAAGATGCCCATGGTCCAAGAAGGTGAAATTCCTTTCGAGATGGTCTGGGCGGACCTCTTGGAGGCGAGTTGGCGCCTTTGAGCCAACGAACCCAATTTGTGTAGCCTTATGTTCCTAGTAGCGTCCTTGCTCCTACAAGTACGGCCCGGAGCCCCTAGTAGCGTCCTTGCTCCTAGTAGCCATGCCGGGAGCCCCTAGTAATTAGCTTCCGATGTAATTGCGAAAGGCTGGAGAAGCGGTTCTGCAAGCCAGTGTGGATGCTTGATGACAGACATGACAAGTTGAACAAGCACAATGTGCAGCACACTAGTAGGTTGGAGGCCATCGCTACTAGGTTGGAGGCCATCCCTATTAGAATGGAGGCCATTGCTATAGGATGGTGGCCATTGCTATTAGGTTGGTGGCCATTGCTATTGGGTTGGAGGCCATCGCTATTGGGTTGGAGGCCATCGCTAGTAGGTTGGAGGACATCGCTAGTAGGTTGGAGGCCATCGCCAGTAG